CAGCGCACACTGAAAACCAGTTCATCCTCATCCTTCAAAAAGAATATATATCATATATATAATAATAATAATAATAATAATAATAATAATAATAATAATCAAGCAAAGATTTTGTGACTCTCCTGTTGAAGACTTCTGCTGTAAATGGTGTTTTTATGTTTTATTTATTGTCACTTCAGTCTAAGAGCATAAATGTTCATTAAAATGCACTGTTCCCTTTTCTTAAATAAAGACATAAAATAAATACATTTGAAGAGCTCACACCTTGACTGCTCTGTAGCGCCCCCTACAGTGACTCACAGACAGATTCAGACTCAGGTCACTAGAGTCAGGTCATGTGACTCTGGTGAAAAAATCTAAATTCTAAAATTTGATAAAAGTTGATTTGTGTCATAAATAAAGATGAGATCAGACGGACACGAGTGTTTCTGGACTCAGAATAATCAGACAAACTGAATCTCACATAAACAAAGTGGATCATTAGATTTTTGTGTGAGATGTGGAAATGAGGCTCTTTGAAGAGCTGGAGTTAAAGTGAATAACACTGACAGCACCAACACCACAACACTTTATTTAAGAGAGTTTTACTCCGAATCAGGATCAGAGCCATAAACCAGAGCTTTTGTTCAGTCCAGTTGTGTCCAGTTAAACATTTGGACTCAGATCGTGTCGTGTGTGTTCAGACTTTACCTGATGATGAAAGACCTCAGTAACTCCTCTTTGTATCTGTGAAACAAACCAATAATAATGAGTCACATTTCCTCGTCTCCTCAGTCACATCCACAAAAGTTTGAGCTTTAACCTACAGGAGGTGGAGAGTGAAAGAGGTGGAGAGTGAAAGAGGTGGAGAGTGAAAGAGGTGGAGAGTGAAGAGGTGGAGAGGGAGAGACATTCAACACAGAGTCTGAATGTGAGTCTGATTATTTAACACAACAGACGAGTTCAAAACAATAAACCACTTTGTGTTGATCAGATTAAAGGAGCTGAACCTGATGTGTCTGAAAATCAGAAAAACTCCACAGACACAGAGAGAACAAGTCTGATAAAAACATCTCGTTTTGACCCTGAGAGTTTCTTTTAAAATATATTTGTATTTGGGACAAAACTAAAGTTTCTTTGATAAATGAAAACATCAGGTTCAACTCCTTTCACCTGTCAGAGCCCAACACCCTGCAGCTCCTCACCTCCGTGACCACAGAGAATAACAAGGTTCTTCAGTTCACTCGACGGTCGTCCTCCTCAAAGACCTCGACTTGACTCCTGATTGTGACGGAGGGTGGAGCCAATGAGGAAGTGGGCGGAGCCAATGAGGGAGTGGGCGGGGGCAATGATGGAGTAGGTGGGGCCAATGAGGGAGTGGGCGGGGTCAATGATGGAGTAGGTGGGGCCAATGAGGGAGTGGGCGGGCCAGTGAGGGAGTGGGCGGGGTCAATGATGGAGGTGGGGCCAATGAGGGAGTGGGCGGGACCAATGAGGGAGTGGGCGGGGTCAATGATGGAGTAGACGGGGCCAATGAAGGAGTGGGCGGGGCCAGTGAGAGAGTGGGCGGGGTCAGTGAGAGAGTGGGTGGAGTAAATGCAGATGTGGGCGTGGTCACGTTTCTGTAAAATACAAACATAAGATGAGAGGCAGGTCCTTTGGGACGTGTCCTTTGGGACGTGTCCTTTGGGACGTGTCCTTTGGGACGGGTCCTTTGGGACGGGTCCTTTGGGACGGGTCCTTTGGGACGTGTCCTTTGGGACCTGGTGTTTTTATTTCAACATTTGTCCCTAAATCAAGATCTGAACATTATTAACGGACCAATCAGACGCCTTCTGTCCCCAAGGTCACTGTTACTTTCATCAGTCTCACTCCTGATTGGCTCTTTTGTTGCCATGTTACAACCATAAAATAAACAAAGGACAAAACTTCTTTAATTTACAGCGTTTAAATGGTCAGAAAAAGTTCTTCCTTGTGCCTAATTGTTTCTGCATTTTGTATTTCTTTTTCAGTGTTGATGACTTTGTTAAAAGTGCATGAAGATCAGACTTGGTGGTTTGGCCCGAGCAGAGCTCCAAGATCTAAAGTGAGACTGAACCGTGGTGAAGGTTTGTCCTAAATCATGATTAAGTCAAAGGAGGAACTCACGCTGCAGGTGGAGCGTTTCCTCTGGACGGGACCTTCTTGGATCTGAGGCCACGTTTTCTGATGGAACAAAAATGAAATATTTCAATCACCAACACCAAACCAAAAGTATAAAAACCAAAAACACGTCTGAGCAGAGGCTCACACACTGACACCTGCAATTAAAATGATTCATTTAACTCACACCTGCCTCCATATTGGATTTATGAACATTAGGGGGCGCTGTTGACATTCAGAATAAACCAAACACCAGCAGCACCAAACCAACGGACCTGGACCACAGCTTGAGAACCACTGCTGCACATTTAAACTTTTTATTCACTTACGGTAAACGTGGCTTTTTGAAGGTTATAAAAGACTTTTTGATCGATCTCTGACGTCGCTGCCCCCTTCAGGTCTGAAAGAGAAAGAACAGAACACAAACTGTTCACCACAGAGTCACAAAATACAAGAAAACCAAGTCACAAACATCACTGGATCACATGGGTTTAGTTCTAGTTCAGACTTTTGGACAAATGTTAGAGCAGGATAAAACCAGCAGGGGGCGCAGTGTGCACCAGAGGAACTGTGATCAGTCCAAGATGGTGGATCATATTCAGGGGCCTCATTTATAAATCTCGCTCTTTACACCAACCGCGGTATTTATGAACCTCGACTAAATCGTGGAGCTTTGTTAAACTCTACACAAACTCTAAACAAAACTCTACACAAAGTCTAAACAAAACTCTACACAAAGTCTAAACAAAACTCTACACAAAGTCTGGAGACACTCGTGGAGAGAAGCAGAAGTGAACAGAGTTTGAGGAAGAGTTTGATCAGAAAATCCACGTATATAAAAGAATGACCTTCAGATTTGTGCATTTTAAGTGTTTGGTTCACAAAACAGGGAGCAGGTCTGTTTATTCCACTCATTATTCTCCACAATATTAAACATTTAAACTCGTGCATGAGCGCGGACACGTTCCCAGTGCAGCTCAGAGTCTCCCACAGTCCACACCGAGACCACAGACTCCTACAGAACACAGACTGTGACCAACACAGAGGACGAAATAATGACCCGACCTGAGACTAAACTCTTCCCTCGGACACAGGAGCTTTTTTGGTTTAATGAAACACTGGGACTAAACACAACTTTAACACTTTTACTCTAGTTTTTTACACACCAGCCAGAGTGACCCGAGCGACCCGAGTCTGTGACCTGAGTCTGTGACCCGAGTCTGTGACCCGAGTCTGTGACCCGAGTCTGTGACCCGAGTCCGTGACCCGAGTCTGTGACCCGAGTCTGATCCCGTCAGATCTCAGAAGCTAAGCAGGCTGGGTAGGACTTGGATGGAGACACTGGGAAATCCAGGAGCCACAGGAGGCGCCAGTGGCAAAAAACTGTTGTTGTGTCCTTAGGCAAGACACTTCACCCACATTGCCTAGTATGAAAGTGGTGCGTGTGTGTGTGTGTGTGTGTGTGGTCGGTCGGGCAGATTGGCAGCCTTGCTTCTGTCAGTCTGTCCCAGGGCAGCTGTGGCTACAATAGAATCTAACCACCACTGAGTGTCGAGTGACTGAATAATGATCTGTAAAGTGCTTTTCTTGAAAGGCGCTGTTATCAATCAACTCCTGCACATGAGAGCTGCTCTCTGACTGTATGAAGAACAGAATAATGTCCGTGTCCATCCCGACCCAGACCCACACTCACAGACCCACACTCACAGACCCACACTCACAGACCCACACTCACACTCACAGACCCACACTCACAGACCCACACTCACAGACCCACACTCACAGACCCACACTCACAGACCCACACTCACAGACCCACACTCACAGACCCACACTCACAGACCCACACCAGACCCAGACTCACAGACCACAGACTCACACAGACTCACAGACCCACACTCACAGACCACAGACCCACACTCACAGACCCACACTCACAGACCCAGACCACACTCACAGACCCACACTCACAGACCCACACTCACAGACCCACACTCACAGACCCACACTCACAGGTTCAGCAGTTTGGATGTTTGGTGTGGACTTTTATTGTCAGAATAACATCTGTATCTGATGTGTTTCGTGTTAAATCTGTGTCCTCGTGTCCCTCCCTCGCTCCTTTCCCTCTCCAGGGGAGGGCATCTGAATCTCTCGCACGCGCTCATAATTTGACCATTCAGATCAGCGCGTGCACGTATCTGCGTGTATATGTAAATATATACAGGACCAGTCCACACACACATCATAGACAGACTTAAAAATATAGAGATAAAACTCTTGAAACAGCAGAAAACACATGGTCTTTACTGCAAAGATGTGCTGCCTAAATATGATGAAATATGATTAAATGAACAGATGAGTCGTTCTTGTCACTTTTAGTTTTGGTGAGGTGGAGGTGAGAGGGGGCGTGGTCTGTCCTTTTATGGTGAGGTGGAGGTGAGTGTGAGGGGCGTGGTCTGTCCTTTTATGGTGAGGTGGAGGTGAGAGGGGGCGTGGTCTGTCCTTTTATGGTGAGGTGGAGGTGTAGGGGGGCGTGGTCTGTCCTTTTATGGTGAGGTGGAGGTGTGAGGGGGCGTGACGTGGGTTTACGTGCACAAATTCTAGTTGCAGGTGGATTTATAAATCAAATTGCAGGTTTAGTTCGTGCGGTGGATTTTCTAAATATGGAGTTTGTGGAGCACGACTCTCGTGGCTACGAGGCGAACGCACAAACTGACCACAACTACTACAGTTTTTTATAAACGAGGCCCCTGGTCTGTGACATGAGACGAGGCTGACGCTCCATTTTTCTATGACTTAATATTTTGTGTTTATTTTGGAGACTTTATGTTGAATGACGTCATATTTATGGAACATGCATCAATTCATTGATTCAGACT